TTGGGGCGCGCGGCCGCGGCGGCCCCGCTCAGGACGCCTCGGTGCGGCGCGTCGGTCCCGGGCTCGCACTGGGTTTCCGTGCGCTTCGCTCCGAGGTCTGTGTGGGAACGTCTGTGGTTGGCGACGTGGCGGCGCAGCAGGTGGGGCCGCCTCCCTGGGTTTGTAACGCGGGCCGGTGGGGGACGGCTTCGTGCAGACCGCGGCGTGTGCGCGCCCCTCGCTCCGCTCCCGACTGGTGCAGACCGAGGCCTTGCGGGCGCGGGGGGTGCGGAGGTGGGGGGGGGGGGGGGAGCGCGGAGGCTGAGCGGGCGCGGGGCGCGGGCCGAGTTCCCGGAGCGCTTCCCCGGCTCTCCGCGTGGACGGAGTGGGTCGTTCGAGTGTTTGCTTTCAGCGAGCGCCGCTAGCGTAGGATCTTCCCTTACAGACGAGAGACATACTCCCTTGTATTTGTGTTGACCTTTGATGAGTATCCCAAGTGCTGTTTATTGAGCACCCACTGTATACATCACGTGCATCATCTGACTTAATTGTCACGCTCGATTTTGGTAGAACTAGAATCCAGGCCAGATCGGTCATCAGGACTCTTGCTTTCTTGTGTACTGCGCTGCCGGCTTTGCGGGCTCATTGTTGTGGTGGATAACGTTGATTTCACTTGACAGACTAATACATTTCAGAACGGTCATTTTAACAATAAAAATACAAAGAAACAGCTTTTTGAGTTAATTGTAGATTCGCAAGCAGTTGTAAGAAATGACACACAGATCGCATGCACCCATAAGCCATAAGTTTCACCCCCGGGGTAACATCTTAGTTGCTAAAGCACAAGGTTGCAACCAGGAAATTGACGTGCATGCAGTGCATGGACACTCGTGTGTGTGTATGTGTGTGTGTGTTTACTCGTGTGTGTGCACATCGTATGTGACCACCACCACAATCAAGGCGCAGAACAGTTCTAGCCCACGGATCCCTCCTGCTGCCCTTTTGTGGCCACAGCCGCCTCCGCTCCTCCCTCTTCCTCATCCATGCCAGCCACTACTCTGTTGTCCACTCTGATTTTACTCCAGGGATGCTATCTCAGGGGAATTGTGAAGTGTGTAATTTTAGAGGGTTGGCTTTTTTCACTCTGAATAGTACCCTTGATGGGTAAGTTTGTTCCTTCTTATTGACCAATAGTATTGCATGGGAAGGATATAGCCTAGGTTGATGACTCACCTGTTAAGGAGTCCCTGGGTGGTTTCCACTTTGGGTTATCATGAGTGAGCTGCTAGGCACAGTCACGCACAAGTGTGTGTGTGAATGTGAGTTTCATTTCTCCGGGGGTAAATGCCCAGGAGCGCAATGCTGGACTTCGTGCATTTTTAGTATCCCATAAGGCAGCAGTGTCCAGTCACGATTGTTTTTTTTTTTAAGTTTTTTTTTTTTTTTTTTTAGTTTATTTATTTTTTTATTTAAAAAAAAATTTTTTTTTCAATGTTTATTTATTTTTGGGACAGAGAGAGACAGAGCATGAATGGGGGAGGGGCAGAGAGAGAGGGAGACACAGAATCGGAAACAGGCTCCAGGCTCTGAGCCATCAGCCCAGAGCCCGACGCGGGGCTCGAACTCACGGACCGCGAGATCGTGACCTGGCTGAAGTCAGACGCTGAACTGACTGCGCCACCCAGGCGCCCCTTGTTTATTTTTTTAAAGAGAGAGAGCAGGGGAGGGGTAGAGAGGATCTGAAGCAGGCTCTGTGCTGCCAGCAGAGAACCCGATGCGGGGCTCACACTCACAAACCATGAGATCATGACTTGAGACAAAGTTGGACGCTCAACCACTGAGCCCCCTCAGGCGCCCCACGATTGTTTTTATTAGTGCTCTGGTTACAGAGTCCAGCGTGTTTTGAGGATCCGGCCTCTCGTGTTTCCCATGACATAGGTTGTTTTACTGAGTTGTTTTGCCACATGTGAGGTGTTTTGGGGGATGCATCTCCTGTGTCACATCCAAAATGGTTACACTGGGTGGACGGAGGGTTGTGGGAATCGATGGCGTCACGATTGCTGAAGACGAATTTCCCTCCTTTCATTCAGGGACGATGGCCCCTCTTCCTCTGTCTCGGCACTTAAGCGCCTGGAGCGCAGTCAGTGGACAGATAAGATGGACTTGCGGTTTGGTTTTGAGAGACTCAAGGAGCCTGGTGAGAAGACGGGCTGGCTCATCAACATGCACCCTGTAAGCGCCTGGGCTTTTTCTCGGTCCTCGTCCCGCTCAGGAGGGCAGCTGCACCCCTCGGAGCAGCCTAGGCCTTGGCAGAGTGGGGGATACAGGTGGAGACGGCATTGTTTGTAGCTCTCCTGCTTCCCTCTTTCACACCGCTGGGTCGTGTAGGGGCTACTGGGAAGACCAGGGTGAAGGGTGTCCCTGTTAACCTATAAGAATGAAGTTTTCAGGGATGAGGGAGGGATCGAGAGAAATCCTCATTTGAAAGGTGTTGCGCTGCTGCAGTTCTCGTGAATGGGGCTGCGGGATGTTTATGCGGGGGCGGGGCAGGGAGAAAGGGTTTGTTTTTGTGCTCAGTTTCCCAGAGAGTGAAAAGCAAGAGGGGTCTTGGACTGTGCAGCGGGTAAGGTGCCTGTGCTGGCTGGTTCTCTCGTAGACCGAGATTTTAGATGAAGATAAACGCCTGGTCAGTGCGGTGGATTACTACTTTATTCAAGATGACGGGAGCAGATTTAAGGTAAGCCCCTGAACCCCAAGAAGCTAAAAGCCACTCAAGTGATGAGGTGTAGCTGGGTCCAAAGTGGTAGCTGTGAGGAGAGGGGGTTGGGAGGTGTCAGGGACACGGGTCCCTTGGAGCCACATGGGTCACCATTTAGGATATCATAAGAGGAGCCAGCTTGGACAGACTGAAAGAGCAGTGTTGTCTGTCTCAGACTTTTGCCCCTGCCATGTGTGCAGCTCTTAATTTCCTGCTGCAGCACCTTTTTTTTTTTTTTTTTTAGTTTTTTTAAATATTTATTTATTTTTGAGGCAGAGACAGAGCATGAATGGGGGAGGGTCAGAGAGAGAGGGAGACACAGAGTCTGAAGCAGGCTCCACGCTCTGAGCTGTCAGCACAGAGCCCGACGCGGGGCTCAAACTCACCGACCCTGAGATCATGACCTGAGCCAAAGTCGGAAGCTCAACTGACTGAGCCACCCAGGTGCCCCTGCAGTGTCTTTTAAGAGGTGTCTAAGGGCAAGGGTGCATTGGATCCAGGCTGCTCACGAGTATAATAGCAAACAGCGTGTCTTCACTCATCTCCCTTTTTTCTTTCTTGTTGCCTCTGAATGGTCGGTGGCTTTCGCAGGTGGCCTTGCCCTACAAGCCATATTTCTACATTGCAACCAGAAAGGTAAGTGTGGTTAGTAGAGTCAGGTCACACGACCTGAGCCTCGTGTTATGGGGAGCTTCGGAACTGAACGTAAAGGGGCCTCTAGAGAAACGGGCCAGGAAGACAGATTTCACTGTAGAAAGTCCTTTCACTCTGATCTCAATTTAGGGTTGTGAGCGAGAAGTTTCATCTTTTCTCTCCAAGAAGTTTCAGGGTAAAATTGCTAAAGTAGAGACTGTCCCCAAAGAGGATCTGGACTTGGTGAGTACCACTTGGCCCTTCCAGGATAAATGAGGCTGGGTCTGCCCTGCACACGGGGCGAGATGGGTGAGATGGGAGGAGGCCAAGTTTAGCACCTGTGGGGTGGTACGGGTGGCGGGGCTTCGGTGACTGTCCGTATGTCCTGGAGAAGTCCAGTGGCATAGTTGGTGCCACACGCAGAGTTGGACAAGGTGCTTTGGACTTGCTGACTCTTCCATTCGTGGGTTTACCTTTGAGTCGTTGTCCCTTTATTTTCTTTCCCCAATAAAGTCTTTTTTCTCTTGAGCTCATGAGCACAATCTCTTCATTTTGTAGCCAAATCACTTGGTGGGTTTGAAGCGAAATTACATTAAGCTGTCCTTCAACACGGTGGAGGACCTTGTCAGAGTGAGGAAGGACATCTCCCCTGCCGTGAGGAAGAGCCGGGAGCAGGGCCACGCCAGTGATGCCTACACAGCTATGCTGTCCAGGTGAGCTTACCTGTCGTAAGCAGCCAGTGAGTCCACACGGACGGGTTCCTGTGTGTCCCGAGGGGCAAGATGGACGGGAGGTAGGAAAACCCAGTGGTGAAGTTACCGTAAGGATTGGCTTGTCCAGTGTGGAAGCACTTTCAAGCAATTAGATAGAATTTCTTTCTTTCTTTTTTTTTTTTTTTTTTTTTGTAATATTTGAGAGGGAGAGAGAGCGTGAACGCACAAGCAGGGGAGGGCCAGAGAGAGAGAGAGAGAGAGAGAGACACATAGAATCTGAAGCAGGCTCCAGGCTCTGAGCTGTCAACACA